ATGCAGTGCTTTAAGTTTCGCCTTGCTTCTTAAAGCCAATTTAACAGATTTTTCTCGCATCGCGAAACTCATAAAACCAGAAGGAATATGCTTCCAGCAGCTGTTTGTATTTGTTTCTTGTTTTGTTTCATATTTACATTTTGTTAAATATAAGATATTAAAACACAAATATGTATATTAACAGTACTGATGTTTTAGAGATGCCCCGTGTTGATGCCAAATATGCTGAATGTGCATCTAATCTGTCATTCTCATGATGACGCTGGCTGGCTGAAAACATTTGAGCAGTACTTCTTAGGAAGTAAGTCTTTGCGGATAACTGATTCCTTACCCTGTAAAGCGCAGAACCTTGGAAAGGAAGATTTAACTTAAAATACGCAACAGTAGATAAAGGAATAACTTATTAAACTCATACCAGTGCCACGCCGTGGATGATTTGAAACGGTTATGTTTTCTGATTCTATGATTGCTAGCTTAAAAAGCTATTTTTATTTACAACTATTCTGACGTTTGGACGAAATGGGCATTGATTATCGCCAGGGAATGAACCAAGCACGTGCGACTGCTTTGAATCGGTTGTTGTTTGACCTGACCAGCGGAACGCTTGACTGATAAATAAATAAGCAACAAGTTCGTGTGTGAACTACGGTTGTGTGCGTTATCGTTATTTAGGCTCTGCTCTCCGTTTTGCTGACGACTGCAGTACCGCACTTGCCTGTTCAGAAAAGAGATGTGCTATTCGCTTCACATAATGTACTGTTCGCTTCATCATGCTTTTCTGATGCACTGCCTCATTGCCCATTGCACCAGAAAATGTCATGAAGCAACTTAAACATGCGGCTATGACGAACTGTTTGTTTAATGCATATTATAGCCATAGCAGACAATAATGTTAAATGCAGTAATTCGATGAAACCAAATACCAAAAAACGATAGGGTGCTGGTCATTTCTCAGAATGTTCGAAGATTTTCTAACAGCCGATAGGGTCCTGAACAAGATATGAAAGATTTTTTGCTAAGAACAGAATGAACGATTGCTTGTAGAATTCTGGTCTGTCGGATATGCATATGTCGAGGAATTACATGCTTAACTTTTTGGGTATGCACAGAGTATGAACTTTTTGCCTGATTTTAGCCAACAAAACTTTAGCCAAAGAAGGGGTACGTTTTATACTGGATTCTGTGGTCAGCGAGCTGTTACACGATTCGTCTAAACGTTTCACCTATGCGGAAACTAGTTTCTTCTGGCGGTGGTGGCAGACAAAGAATGATCACATTAGACACATTGTCAAACGATTGGTCAGTAAAGGTTAGTCGATTCTCATGATTTTCAGTTGAGCATCATGTTATAAAATTGATACAGGCCAGTTGGAGTTCGTTGGCGGTGGTATGGTACAGAATGATGAAGCGTCGCCTCACTATACCGCCATTATCGATCAGATGACAATGGGCCACGACTTTCTTCGGCGGACATTTAACGAATGCGCTGTTCCTACAGTTTCGTGGCAAATCGATACTTTTGGTCACAGTTCTGAAAACTGCGCCCTGTTTTTGCAGGTGCGTTCAACATCCATGGTTCAGTCAGTGATCTTTCCAGTTAAATGTGCTCTAATACATAATTTATGCTAGATTTTGAAGCCATATTTTCTGTCTCCCTTAATTTTTGGATTTTGCCTTATGCTACCCGAAGAAGTACACAGCAGTTGCGAAATGCGCTGTGATGTACTGCAGCTCATCAAACTCTCATATCCATGAGTCGAGAGACTAAATGTTCTACATGATAGTTTAACTTCATGCTGTGCACGCATATGAAATTGCCCACTTATCAGCTAAGCCACTGGTTAGCAGATTTCAGAATTTTCGGTCGTATATTTCCATTTGTCCAACGTGGTAAATTGCATTTATATTTGAGATACCTAATCAGCAAATTCTTTTTTAGAAGACAAGGGAAAATCCCTTGTCCCTTCACAGGGACACGCGAGTCATTCAAATTATCCTGGCTTCCCTGACGTGTCTCTGCATCCATTTCACTGTGATGCTATTGTTTTTCGCAGTATGAGCTCGTGATTGTGGGATTTTGTAAATCTAGTCAAATTCAGATTCATCAGAGTGTCGATCGCGTAATACTTGATGATGCTTTCTCTTAGAACGAATACTGTATGATCGCCTAAGTTCTTTTGTCCTAGGTTATGATCAGAGCAGGCTTCTCTTCTTACTTCTGCCCCAAAACTTTGGGTTCCAGTAGAACAGTAGAATGAATGATCAGTTTGCTCAGGGGTGCCCGTATATACAACACAATAACGCGCGTGTAGTCCCGCTAGATGACTGGAGGGTCACTTAAGCAAACGAAGGTTCTGTACATCGTTTGACTCCAGACGTTGAAACAGAGCGGAATTGTGGCTCATTTATATGTTCGTAGACCTTTAAAAGCAATTTGGTAATGCCATAGCGCTATGTAGATGCCGGTAGAGCTATGGTGCCAATTATTACTCTGCTAGACAGATTCGGTTTAAAGGCGCAAGGCGATCTTTTAATCCCATGTTGTCATCCACTCGCTAATCGA